CTATTAGGAATCAGGCTATGCATCACTGCCTGAGCTCTGCCTCCACCCTCCCCTGCACCAAGTCTGTGGAAAAATTGTCTTCCAGGAAACTGGTCCCTGGTGCCAAAAAGGTTGGGGACTGCTGGTATAAAAGACTAAAAAAAAACGTAACATGTGCATAGGGCGACTCCATTATAATCTTATGAGATGTCATACATGTGGTCTGTCATTGATTAAAATGTTATTATGTGGCACATGGCTGTGCCATAAACTGGGTAGCTTATAAACAGAAATTTATTTCTCACAGTTCTGGAGGCTGGAAAGTTCAAGGTCAAGGAACAGGCAGATTTACTGTCTAGTAAGGGGTGGCTTACTCACAGATTGTGCCTTCTTGCTGTGTCCTCACATGGTAGACTTATAAGGCCTTTTATAAGGGTACTAATCGCATTCATGAGCCCTCATGAGCTAATAACCTCCCAAAGTCCCCACCATCATCCTGGAAGAGAGGATTTCAACATAATAATTTTAGGGGGACACAGATATTCAGACCAGTGCACCACTGATTCAACTAATAGCAGAACTGAGGTAATGAGAGGTCAATGAGGCAATCACCTATGGCTTTTCTTACATGGACAGACAAGAGAGCAATACTAGACAGAGAAAGAGAAACTGAGTTCATCATCTATTGCTCTCTCACATTCACCTTGTCATACGAAGATTCTTTTAACTCCAATCTGAAATCTGGGAGAGAGCCATGGTTGTCCCCTGCCCCCCCTTTTTTTTTTGGCTTTTTTTAAACACAGAAACCGAGATACCTTACTCAATAATACTTAAATCTACACTTTGACTCAATGTCCCACCAGATTTACAGCTTCATTCATTTTTCCTCCTCTACCTGTTTTTTTCACAGGGTCATTTATTATCTCTTATTAGGAAGATTCACTTTTTCTGTTTCCCTATTTAAGGAAGATGGCACCTTCCTACATGACTAAAGTATAAAGTACATCCAAGCAGGGTTTATTTCCCTTCTAATATTGGCACATGGTAGTCCCCCCTTATCCACAGGGGATAAGTTTCAAGACCACAGTGGATGCCAGAAACCTCAGATAGTACCAAACCCTATATGCATTACACGTGACAGTACATCTAATAACCTAGACGCCACTAAGTGACTAACGGGTTGGTGAGGTATACAACATGGATTTATTGGACACAGTGATGATTCATAACCCGGGAAGGATAAGCCAGAAATGTGCAAGATTCCACATGCTACTCAGAATGGCAGACAATTTAAAACTCATGAATTATTTCTAGAATTTTCAATTTAATATTTTCAGACAGTAGTTGACCATGGGTCACTAAAACCGCAGAAAGTGAAACCTTGAATAAGAGGAGGACTACTGTATTTGGAGGACACATAAGTCTAGGATCCAAAGTATCCCAAATGTAAACATCAAATACTGTTACAGAAGGAAAAGGAGAATTTTATATAAAGATATAATTAACATGTGGGATATTAACATTTCCTTGTCTTTTGAATTTTCATTTCAGTGGGAGAGGCAGAAAATAAGCATTAAACAATAAATAAGTTAATTATAGGCTTTCCTGAGTGTTACAAAGAAAACAGTGGCTTGGTAAACAGTAACTGGTTTGGGATAGGGAAATGTTCATTAAATAGGGTGGTTAGGAAAGGCCTCTGATGAGATGATTTTTCAGCTCTGGCCTGACAGTCATTCTGGGTAGAGGAAACAGGAAATGCAAAACCCAAATCAGTAAAGATCGTGGCGAGTTCAGAAAAGGTGACCCAAGGCCTAGAGCAGCACTCAGTGAAATTGATGTTTGTAAGGCACACGGCAAGGCGGGGTGGTTGGCATAAGAATGACACTGCCTGTGACCCAGAGGCAATCAGATTGGCAACTGCTTTGGGACCCATCTAGTCTCCCAAGGCTGAGCGACTCAGTATCTTGGCATAACTCTAACTCACTCGAAGCATATCTGGGTACCTCACATATAATTTAGCAAACTCTGGACTAAAAAGTATAGTGAAAAAGGTAAAAAGTGATACAGAATGAGGTTAGGGAAGTAGGAAGGAGGTGATCACGTTAAGGCTAACAGAGTCTGGATTTTTCCTATTTCCAACAAGAAAGGAAGAGTTCAGGGTACATTATGATTTGTAAGCAGCTCCTAATTAGGGAGTTAAGAAAAGATTTAAGAAACAGAGAAGCTTAAATAAGTCTGTATGGCAAAGGGAAAGGGGATGGTTAGGAAGTGGCTAAGCAAGTTATTGAATAAGAGAACCAAATAGAAGAGACGATATGTGAGGGGCCTATGCCAAGTACTGAAGTTTCAGTCTTCTCCTCAGGTCTGTAAGACTTAAGAAGAGTTTCTGAAAAGCTTGAGTGATCACCTTTGACAATGGCTGAGCCACCATGTCAAGAGGATTCCCCTATCTGGCTTTCCCACACTCACCTGAAAACGGACTTCTTGTCATCTCACTCTTCATCTCCCAAGGTTCTTTCCCTTTCTCCAATAAGGATATCACGTATGGCTTAGAAATGCAAAGGCCTGCATAAAAAAGACATAAAAATTGGCCATGTTTTGGTTTATTTCAGAACTATAAGGTAGTTCCTTCGTTCTGATGGAATGATATTTCAGAATGACTAGATAAGAGATAGAACATGTTTAAAGGACATAACATAAAACTCTGAAATAGTCTAGTGGGACTGACAATAAATTCTACAAAAGTTAAACTATTTTCTAAGAGGCTTAAGGGCAGAAATTTAGCATTTTCTGAAGATTATCAGACAGTAGCAAATGAGGTATTTTAAAAGGTCCCTAGAAACATAGTTTGGAGTTTAACTGCCTGCTTTAAAAAAAGAATAAATACTCTTCAGAGGGAAATGACAGAATCCAGAGGTTCTACAACATTTTATTTACAGTGTCCATGATAAAATCCAAAGTTACTAGATATAAGAAGAGGAAAAATTGAAATTATACCCAGAAGAAAACGCAATTAACGGACACCCACCCTACAATAACACAGTTGTTGAAATTAACAGACAAGGATTTTAAAACAGCTATTACAACAATACTCAGTAATGTAAAGGAAAATACACTTCTAATGAATGCAGAAACAGGAAATCTCAGAAGAGAAACAAACTATAAGAAGAACCAAATGGAAATTCTAGAATGAAAAAATAAAGTATCTGAAATTTAAAAATTCACTAGATGGGCTTAACAAAATATTGAAGATAAGGATAGTCAGTGAAC